GCTGAATAAACAAGAGCGGACACGTGGCTAAAGAAATAACAGCTTTCTTCAAGCACAATAGCACAAACTTCACTAAAGTAATAGAAAAGTAGAAAATATTCATTTATGATTAATGATAATTAAGCCTTAATTCAATATTATAAAGACAATGAAAACTGATATTGTCTCAGCAATGAAGAAAAAGTGCCACCCTTGTACACAGTACATTTTTGGGCTTTGAACTGTTGATCTGACAAAATAAGAAAGTAGAATACATCATCTTGGGCTCTTGCAAAGTGTAAGAGGTATTTGTTACTATATTCTGACATTGTATAGACTTAACAATGTCTTGACTGATTAAAAAATAGTTGGCAGAATTCAAGATGAGTATTGTTAGTTGCAGCCGTCCATTTGTTATGGCCAGAAAACAACTGCATATCATGCATCTGATGTGATGTGCCTACCACAGGCTCGTTGGGGTTTCACTAGACATAGCTGGAAGCCTGAGGAACATGCTGGTCCAGAGATGTGTCTGCCGGCCCAGAGAGAGCCAGGATGCTGCCACCTGCTGGACTGGGATAAAAGTGCTGGTTGAACATACAGCTGCTGCGAGTAACTGCCTGGTTACATGCCAACCCACCCTGCTGAGTGTGGTTCAGCCCGGTGACACTATTTGGCCACAGGCCAGGATGTGGGAATGTTTGGTTTTCTGAAGTCTGGCTTTGGCATGATGGCATCAGCTCCATTCCATTCTGCATGATGCCAGTTTGAGGCAGCTTCTGCTGCTGGTTGTGAAGCCACTGTTGACTCTGGTGGTTGTGTGCTTCAAAAGGGGGACTTCCTTGCAGACAAGCTGAGGCAAAGGGAATGGGAATATTAGGTGGACCAGAAGAACTAAAGTCATTGCAAGGAATCAGGGTAGGTAAAAGGTCCACTGTGGGTGCTACATTGTTTGGTTGTCCGACAGTGCTTTGCAGCAGCTGATCATTTGCTGCCATTGCAGGAGCCTGCAAATTGTTTTGAGGACATAGTAGATACTGGGTTGATTCCATTTGTTCAGAAATCCCCTGAGGGAAACCCGTGTCGCTAATGGGGATCTGCCTACAGGACTGAAACAAGGATAAGACATCATCATCTGAGGTGTCAGGGACAGTGAGCTCTACTGACGGGCTCAAAATGTCTTGGAGTTGCAGCTGCTGAAGTGGAGGCAGGTTGGTGTCAGCCTGATGAACCAGGGGACCTTGGTGGGAGAGTTTCTGGGTGCTGTTGAATGTGTGAGCAGACTGCTCTGTAATCCCTGGTCCATTCATTGCATTCTGCTGGTGAGCACAGAGTCCATTCATCAGAGAAAAGGTCTGATCAAGGCAAGGTGCCTGAAACAACTGCGGCTGACAGAGTTCGGTGACTGGGAGCCAGGCAGCCTGAGTGAATGGATCCTGCTCATTGTTGTTGGCCACCATGGGACAGCTGGGAGGGCTGGCACTTAGACCATCTCCTCCCTTCTCACTGAACAAAACTGCATCTATGTAGTCAAATATGTCATTAGTGAGGATGCTGTCCAGCTCAGAGCCGACACAATTCTGCTGACCCTCATCCTGACTGTATCTCTTGAGAGCATTTTCCCACTCCATCAGCTCTGCATCATTGACCTCCAGTTTCTGCAAAGCTGTCCCAAGATCACCGTTTTGAGCCATTTTCCCCAAGCTGTCCATCACAGCCATCACAGACTTCACGGCCTCCTCTTTCACTACAACAGGGCCACATGTTGTGGCTGGGGGCCCCCCCCCCCTGGGAACGCTGACGAGGGCCCGGCTGTCCATGAACACCTGATCCACAGCTAAGGGGTGGTCCACTGTCTGGGTGTAGAGCGTTTCATCCTGTCTGAGGAAGCAGTCCACCAAAGAGCCGGGGTTCACATCTTTGGTCACGTCATTGTTGCTGAACTTTCTATCAAACTGAAACTGTGTGATGTCCACTGTGGGGCCGGTGTCATAGAGAACAGCCTCTCCGGTAGTGAAGCTGAAGGGAAGCTGCAGCTGCCTCTGACGCAGATACTCCTCACCCTCAGCGTTGCTGAAACAGGCCAAAGAGCACACGTTACACCACTGACACAAAGACCAGTCTCAATCCTAGTGAGAAAAACTGCCAGGAGGCATCTTCATTCATCATTCATCACTTGTCTTGTTGCTGTCAGACTTAATCATTTGATCAACCAACACAGCCACTGACAGTAAGTTCATAAAGGGTCAAACACTCACACTAAAGCTTTCTGATATGAAATGATGAATTCAGGTCTTCCTTCTTTGTATAACAGCTTGGCATTGGCCTTCACCCACACCCAGCTACTCGACTTACACAGCAGCCTGAAAACAGTCAGTCCGCTCTCTCCTGTTTTAATCACTGTGATATAAAGACAAGAACAACGCACAAGATGTTAACAATGCAGAAGCAGTAAATGTCTCGTACAATCAATCTTCTTTTTGCCTGTTATGCTTTATCCACCACATACTGTGATATACTGTTCTTACAGTTGCATCAGCAGTGTAACTAATTAATATTCTGGTTTGTCACAGCATTAAAGAAAAGGCCACTGTTCATTAAAACCAAAATTATTCCTCATTCTCAAGGGCATAAATGTGCTTGGCAAATTCTTTGCAACAATCAGATGGATGTTGGATAAAAGCTGAAGGATGCTTTAGGAAAGTTAACTAACCTTAACATACGGGGGCATGAATATCCACAACAACATGTCGTGTCTAACTGGGCAGTAGTTGATGAGACATTTCACTCTGGACCAAAGTGAAATCTCAATTTTGGTTTGGTCACATAATTAACATTTTAAACCAAGAACATGTTTTCCTATTTTATACCAACTACTGTTAGACAATTAATATTTTGAAATGGTACCACAAGCTAATCTTACAGTTGGTTGTCTTACTATATCATAAAATGCATAGAAGTATAGTTATCGGCCTCTTGTCTGACTGCTTCTTGTATCAAACAAACAAACTGCCAACTTACTGCGGATGTGGTTGTTGGCACAGTACATCATATCAGCTGCATGGATGAACTGGTACCCAGAGCCTTTCATACACAGCTCAGTCTCTGAATAGCCCAGAACAATCTTCCCCCTGGTGAGAGACAGGGAACAAAACTGAAGAAATGACTACTAGTTAAGACCTGGGAACGCTACCTGGTTTAGTTGGAGCATCTCGAAATTTGTTCCAGTTTATTTAAAGAAATGTTTTAAAAACCTGATATGCTGTCAGAAATACCTGACAATTAAAGAAAAACACCCACAAAATGAGGATGATGACAACTACAAACAAAGAATGGAATAATTTGTAGCACCTGCTACAAACACCCATGGGTGTGAAGTCCAGTTTGTGTTTGGTTTGAAAGAAGAGCATTTTAGCCCTGATCTGCACAATGGATGGAGGCTGGACAGGCGTAGCGATGCTGAACAGTGCCAGCTGAGGTTTGCTGCACATTCCGTTGTCCCTCAAAACACTCTGGCCATGGAGGTACTTCAGTCGCCCCTGGAACCTCAGAGCCTAGTTTGGGTAAAAATAAATAAATAAATACATTTGAGAAGAGTTACACATGGAGATTGTGTGATCATTTCTTGATTTGGCTCACGATATTCCATAAGAAATGAATGAGATGTTGTTTATGAAGCAGGTTTTTTAAGTAGAGGCCATTCGGGCCCATTACAGCCAATTTTGGCATTTTTTTTGACAATTTATCTTCAAGCATGAAACTAACCAGAAAGCCAGAGGAATTGTCCAGAAGGCAGCGGAAACGACACACAAAACTTCTCTCTAGGAAGGAAGAGTTTTCTGGGGGGAGATGCTCAGGACTGTACATCACTGTATTGACACAGCTCTGCAAGGCTGACGACACAGGCAAGCATAAAACAATAACAATAAATGATTTACCATTCATTTATGTCAAACCTATGTGTTATTCGCACAGTGTGTGCAGACTGGGCTTCTGTTACTCTTATGTTTCCTTCAGAGTACTCACCGTCTTCACCTGCGCCAACAGGTGAGGGGTTCAGTGCAAAGTGAAGCTGCTGTCTGAACATGGCCCGGTCATCAGTATGGATGAGCTCAAACACACTTTGGTGAACCACATCCGACTTTTGGCAGAGGAAGGAATACCACACTCAGTCAGCCATTCAAGTCATTTACACATGTGCCCTATACAAAGGCTCCTATGAATATGTTGCTAGTGAAACAGCAGCAATGAATTTTGTCCACATATTTAAACATTTAAATCCAGGACCAGGTTTTCCTATTTTAATTCATTATTGTTAAAAAATTAACAATTGGTGGTCACATTGTGAACCAGTCTTAAGAATGTGTAGTTTTTTTGTTAAGCCATGAGTAACCATATGAAATGACATCTCAGTAGTGGCTACTACAGGAGTAGCGTGATCATTTTGATGATTTTGAGTATTGGACACTAGAAGAATACTGTATCTAATATTAAAGAAAGCTTGAAAAGGCCAGCATCTTACCTGATGGAAGCCCAGGTAGTCCTTGATTGTAGGAGACACATAGAACACCAGGCCCTCTGGTGTGACTACCATAACAAACCCGTTCAGCGCCTGCACAGGGAACAACCAGTCAGCCTTTACATGAAGCACTTTAAATTACTTCTGCTGTATGAACTGTGCTATGTAAAGAAAGTTTTGATTGACTTACTGACTGGGTTGAAAAAATACACATACAAAACATACACATGCTAAAGGACACAAACTCATAGTAGAATACCCTCATGTTCCACTAATAGACTTGTAAATGTATTAAACCAATGCAATAACATGTACATAGCGTTTTCAAGGTGTTAATACACTGTGGGACTGTGCCACAGCTTTTAAGGCACAGTGACCCCATTTTGTTTTAAGGTTGCAATCATTTGCACTGGTCTGTATCATGCCTGGAATATTTTTACAACAGGACACAGTTTCTGAAAATGACCACCCTGACCAAAAAGATGAGCCTGACTTATTGACACATGCACGCTGTTCATATTCATAAGGCGCTTCATAGTACTAGTTGTAAAGGTGCAAACATCCTTCATAAGAGTAAGTGGTGAAAGGTTAAACTTTCACATGCATCATATAATTATACTTGCTGCTGCCAATGTACAGTGTTGACACTGGTGGCAAGGACAGCGTTAGTGTTTCCACTAACAGAAAGTGAAGAGGGAACACAAACACCATAGACCAGCTGATTATTCTGCAGCAAGCCAGAATCCCCAAAGGCTACAGATCTGATCTACAGCTGTTGACATGGAATGGCATTTATGATGGGTCCAGACTACACAATGTTTTTGCCTGATAAGATGCTCACTGTGATTATGGAGTCATAAATTCTTGCCGTGATTTGAACGAGGGATATAACAGACGACACATTGGTACCCTATAAATCACAGCCTGCTGTTGTTCATGAGTTGCATGATGTTGTTGGAAGGAGGTGCCAGGGGCTGGGACGTCTGAAGTGGTGTGTCTTGTGTTTGGAAATGCAGAGTAAAAGAAAAACAACAGCTACGGACCCATCTGTGGGTCTCACTAAGAGGGCAGCAGGGGTTGTCTATTCTTCAAGGAGAACTGGGGTAAATAACAAACTGAAAACTAGCTGGCTAGCCCTTATAGAGTACGCCCCTTCTCCATCGGCCGGTACCGGCTCAGGCAAGCTGAGTCGAGTCGAGCCGGTACTAGGCAGTGGAAAAGGTACTATAGGTGACTATGAAATGTGCCAACGTGCTAACATTAGCTGCATCACTGCGATATGAACTGTTAATTCAAGGACTTAATGAACACAAGTCAGTCTTATATGCCAAGAATGCTACAAACAAAAGAGTGATCGCTGCTCCTCGGTCAGCGTCACTCCAACACATCTATGAGAAACAACAAGTGGTTTTCATGTCCAAACTGTGTTGTCTGAACCAGACATTAGTCTCAGTAATGGGTCAGATTTTATAACATTTCGAGAAAAGAGACAGAGTGCACAAGTGGGCAAACAAGTGAGTGCAAGCATGTCAAAGAACTGAAACATACTTTAGTGTGATAATAGACATGTTTCAATATGAACACAGGTGACAGCATCAATACCTCTGTGACAGCTAAGGTGCTTTTGGTTAGAGTTCACCAATTCAAGCAGATAGCACTTGTTCAATTCTGTAATAATAAAAGCCGAAAGCCCAGCATACAGAGGCACTGGGACAAGTAATAAATGTAAGACAGATGTTACAATTATTAGAAATGTGGCTGAGTAGTGTCTGAATGAGTGTTTTAGCCCAGAGGTTAACATGTCCCAGTCTCATACCTGGAGCAGACAGTCCCCTTCAGAGAAGCCTGCTGTGTCCATGTTGTTCCCGCTCTGCCCATTCACTCCAGGAAACATCAGGCTGCTGCTACTGTTCTTCATGGTTGCTGCACAGACGGTGACACAACAGAGAGGATGAGTCACTAGAGGCTTTAAACATGTGCATCAAGGACATGAATCATATTCTTCAGCTATATCAACTTTGTGATTTAACCTCCTGAAAGGCTTAGATGGCTAGCACCTGAGAGAGAACTTACTACTGCAGTAAAGTCAGGAACATTCTCTGAAGTAGGCCTAAGAGTAAAAATCCCACACAATTGTTTGTTGTTCAAAACTGTGACTGCAGATGTGGCACTGTGTGGGAAATGTAGAAGTCTTTTATAAAGTTTACAAAGCAAAACATCATATGACACCAGTATCCAATCTTGCGTCACATCTGGAGTACTACACCCTTTGCATTCTACAAATATAACCAAGCCTGTTCACTGGAACATATCAAGAACTCTTCACTTTCATCTGCACCATTAAAGCAGGCCTGAGTATGTAATGCTCAGGTAGTATTGTGTAACATGACACAATAGCATTCATTTGATCTGCTGGGTGTCAAAAACACGCCAGCCCGAGAACAAAGCCAGTTTAGACAACCATTTCCAGGTAAGGGATTACAAAAAACTTGGCAATGTTGCTGTTGTTTGTTTTATATAACAGACGTGTGAGGTTCCTGCGTGAACACCTTTGCTGCACAACGATAACCAAACTTCCAGTGTGGGCAGGAGTTTTGTTGCTTTGTCAATAAGGATAGCCTGCACCAAGAACAACAATCATTCTCCCACTATTTGGTTTGGATTCAGTTTGGCATCACCTGCTAGCAGTGTGCGTGAAACACACCAGTCCCTGTCAGAAGCTTTTGCACTAGTCGTCATTGTTGCTGAGCAGCTCACCATGTCATATCATATTTAGACTGCTTTTCAAATTCAAATTCTGCTGCTCTAATGTTTACATGAAACTAATTTGCATATTTAGGGCTGAAATGGTTGAACATGCTTCAGCTTGGGGTGACGGGCACTATCAATGCTACGGCTGTAACAAACAAGCACAAAAACTGTGGCAACACTTGAGTTCATGTAGTAGATAGTGGGTATTACAAGTTGGACATCCTGACCTTTTTTTAGGCCTTTTTTTATGTGATTTAAAGGGTAAATCCACACTAAATAATATACTGTGTGACATACTGCTGCCTTTGTTTCTGTGATGCCCTTTGCTATGCAGATTGCTGTTCTGCATCTCTATGGTTGCACTGTGGACAAGACTCTTGTATGGATCCAATAATAATCTGGATGTTGGATCCCGAGTGTGCAACAGAATAAGCAAAGCCAGTGATTTGCCATGGATAAGCTTCAATTGTTGGTCTCCTGCCAGAAGACAGGTTTTCTCATTGCTGGAAAACTGATCTGGCAGCCTGCATGTCTGCTCATGTAACACACACACACACACACACACACACACGGTCCTTCTGCATCTGTCTCTGGGGGTTTTTCTAAGCAATGGCTGACAAGAGCACTTCCCATATTTGGAGAGCCACTACAGGAAAATCCCAGAATATGACCTCTCCCACCTCCCAACCTGCCAGTCCAGTCCTGTCACGCAACTTCTTTAAGGAGGGGAAGGGGCCTCTGGACACTGCCCCTCAAAGACAAAGCCACGGATACTCCCCACCCTCAGCTAAAACCCATGCAGCATTTACACACCCAGATCTGCACAGTCTGACCATCACACATCCACACAAAGCTAAGGACGACACACAATGCAATCCATGCATACAACCGCTATTAGCATAAAATGAGAGTTACATGTTTTGCCAGTACGGGCTAGCAACACTATGTCATCGAAAACAAACCATCAGACAGACCAAATGTTAAATGTTTTCAGAAATAAACAGACAAGCACACAGTCAGACCAGGCTAATTCTTAATGCTTCAGCCAAATACACACAGGCAAATGCAGAACATGTGACTTCAAGGGAAAATCTGAACGATCCAGCCCATCATTTATGTTGTATTATTTTTCCTCTCTTCATTGTTTGCATCAGTAAGTAGGCCTCTTTGTAGCTGTCTGCTTGTTTTCATTCTAAATTCCTTCCCCAGTGGTGCAATGCATCACATTCTCCCTCCCCATCTTTTTCCACTGTGTTGCTGTTCTGTGCAGATTTGCACATGTGCACAAGTCCAGAGACTGACCAGAGGCTGGACAAACATTATTCATAGTCTCAGAGATGCAGCAAAGGAAGGAAACATCAAACATAGTCACAACCTTCACAGAGCAGGAAGGAAGTGCTCAGATGTAACTAAATGAATGTCAATCATCTACACCACATAGATACAACAACTTACAAGAGATGCATCTGTCCATGGGGTGTCCTACATAGTTCTATGTTTTGCCTTTGACTTCAAACTATGAAAACAAGGAGAAAGAAAGTATATAACATTAAGGAATTTACAATTTATGGTTCTTTACGGCTGGTTTAAACAGTCCCCATGCCATATTTAACAGTAATCATACATTGTCCTATACAAATGTTTTAGAGAAACCCTAAAAACTTCTTCCAGTACTTTCAAACTCATTTCAAGTCTTGGTGTAATTTGAGACCATGAGAGGCCCCTTTTCAGCATCAAACCATAGCTTCCTGTTTCAGAAGAAGGGCCATTATAGGATTGGTGAAGTGCAGATCATGTTTTTGATCCCAGCAAACATTCCTCACAGAGAGAATGAGGTAGCCTTTAAAGGATTTGACATTTTTTCCTCATGGGGTAATTAAGTGAAATCCAAAGAGGTACGAGGGGCTGGGGTTGTGCTGCATGCAATCTAGTCTGGCTATTGAGGAAAACAAGCCTGAAGCGCCGAAGAGTGAGACTCATATATTCATGGACATGTTGAATGGTGACAGAAACAAACACAGTATGATAAAACAATGTTAAATAAAACTGAAAACAAGCACAAATGCTTTAAGTTGAATTAAAATGACCTATATAAACAGTATCTACAACACTTTACACTATCAGCATACACACTGAAACTAAGGAGTGAAAAAGGAAATGCTGTCATGAGTTGGAGGCGTGCCAGATTCAGAGAGTGTAAAGCATGCCAGCAATGCATAGGGGAATATTGAAAACATTTAGTTCTAGTAGATCCTTTACAGAGATTTCTGTTCTCACGCAGATGTGCAGGAAAGGGTGGCGCTCACAACAAATAGCAGCCAATGAGCTGGGTCACTCGGTCCACTGGTTCAGTCTCCCATCAGTCTTTTGATTCATCCCCCCATTTATTTCTGTGACTTTAGGGGAGGGAAACAGCCTCAGCCTCTTTTATTTTTTATCACCAGACAAAAGTGTAATGTAGGCATTTCAAGGAAGAGAAGGGGATGAAAAACAGACAACCCAAAGCTCATCATGGAAGTGGAAGCATTATTTTAGAACTATACAAAATAGACACACCGAAAATTACAAGATATTACAAACTTGTATTTGAGTGGATGTTTTCTCCTGGCTACCCATCCACACTAACATACAGTGAACATAATTTATACTTACTTTCTACTTTATTGCTAGTAAATAACTTAACTTGCTCATATATAGCTTAGCCTTAGTGGCATATAACTGTAACTGTAACCCCAGCTTACTGTACAGCACCTTGTTTGTTTCAGTCAGTTTGCTGCAATAACTATTGAATTTCCCCACAGGATTTAATTTATCTTCTCTTTTATCTATCTTAAAATTACAAGTTACAAAGGACTTCTTTAAAAACATTTTTAGTAACAACAGGTTTTTCCTGATTGGCTTTATTTCATCAGTGGCTTTGAATCATTGCTTTGACATTTCCACTTTTTTTGATGAGCAGTGGAAGAGTTTGTTATCACACCACTGTATCAGCAGTAAAGTCCTTCTGATGAGCAGTGGTAGAGTTTGTTATCACATCACTGTATCAGCAGTAAAGTCCTTCAGGTTCCTGGGCTCCACTATCTCCCAGGACCTGAAGTGAACATCCAACATCAGGACCATCACCAAGAAGGCACAGCAGAGGATGTACTTCCTGCTCCAGCTCAGGAAGTTCGACTTGCCCCAGGAGCTGCTGATACAGTTCTACAGAGGAATCATCGAGTCTGTTCTCTGCACCTCCATCACTGTCTAGTTTGGCTACTC